AGCCAACCGCGATTCCAATCAAGAGGCAAGCAAAGGTGCGTGGCAGCAAACCGGCCTAAGCCTTGAGGTCCCTGCAGGAAACTGAAATTAAAGACCAGAGAGCACCAGGAAAAGCGATGCGCAGGTTGCTCCGGCCCATCTGCAGCGCCCTTTGGGTTCTCGGGCTGAGCAGGCAAAGCCAAGCGCCAGGCTCTGGCAGAGGCACCGATCCTGCCTTTGCTCTGTTCACCGTCCCACCGGGATGCCCAGCAAGCCAGGGATCACCAGCTCCCCCCGGCAGCGCCGTGCCCTGCTCAGGGGACGTTAGGGCACCCAAAGGCCAAGCGCCCTGTGCCATACTGACCAGGCCACCGTCGCACGGCATGGCACGTCCCTTCCGCAGCCCAGCCTGTCCTGCCGGCTCAGCCCTCCGTCGTGGCACTTTCAACACCGTCAGCATCTTTTGGGCTGAGGTACCAAACCCAAGCCACTCCCAGCCACCGCAGCCAAGAGCCCGCAGGTAATGGTGCGAGTTTGTCACGACGAGGTAGGGCTCAAACCGTCCCCTTTTCATCTTCTCCTGGCTATTCCAGGCACTGGCAACTTGGGGAGGAGACATCAAGGCAAGCTCCCTGGTCAGCAAGGCACGGACACCGACAAAGGAGAGAGAATAAGGCAAGCCGAGAAGTTTTCCCTGACTCTTGCTCCATCCAGCAGCTCTGCGCCCTTCTACTTTGGTCGCTTGTCCTCTCCTTGATGGCCGCGAGCCCGTCCCACAGCTCTAACCCTGGCTGTAAATTAACAACCCTCCCCCGCCTTCACCAGCCAGCTACGGGCAGGATAACTCAGCTCCACCACCCTAGGCTTGGGTTGACTCATTTGTCTTCGCTGAATTAAATCTCCTCGCATCAAATAAACTACACGGTTTGTATTTGACATGGGTGAAAAGAGAGGCGCAGAGAACTGACCCTAATTCAACGCCCCAGAGCCAGGCGATCGAGTTGCAGCTCACAGAAAGGCTGAGCCTTGCAGCCTTAACCCTCACTTAGGAGAAGACAGCTCCAACGTTCTCACGCGAAGAAGCGACAGCAAAATAACCTCCACGGCATCCACGTGGGACGCTGGAGCACTCCTAAGCTCCTGAGATCTGCTGTTCAGCTCTCCCACGGCGCTGGCACGCGAGCCAGGACCGTGTGTCTCACCCTTGGAGCTCAACAGCTTCGCCCCAGGCCCCCACTCGAGGCACCTTGTCACCTCGCTGGGTATTTTTACTGCCCGAGGACTTTCCTCACAGCCGTGGGGGCTGTGGCCAGAGGGTGTCGGGAAGCCAGAAGCACAAAAGTGTCTTTAAAAAGTCACTAAAGGAATTCTTGGAGGATCGTGATTCTTCGACCCAGCAGCCCAGGTACAGTCTCCAGCTCCGGGGACGCTTCAGCACAGGGAGGTCTCGAAGAAACCGCTCAGTAACCTGACATTTTCCACCACCATGTCCCTAATCCCTTCCCTCTCAGGAAGAGGATCCAGGGCTCAAGTGACACAGACAGCTAATTCGATACCAAAAACCCCAGTGGGTTTGGTTTTCTTTTAAAAAACCCTTTTGCCAAGAGAAGACAAAGCAGTTGTCCCACCTGACAGCCGGTGACATCAAACGCTGTGGGACAACATCCCCCGTACCCGCTCCCGTACAAAGCCACGCGCCGCCGCCTCCTCTGCCCCGAGACCTGACCTCAGAACTTGCTGCTGCCGCTTCCCGCCGGAGCAAGGACAGGGCCCTTTGCTATAAATATTCATCGCATCCTCCCCGCTGTTTCAGACGGGGACTGTCACATCCTAACCTTGACTCCGTTTCAGCATCGCCGCGTGCTCTGTCAGCCGATCCAAGCATTTCTTCCAGCTGCGTCGCAGCGAGCGCGAGGCGAACTCCATCACCGGAACGCCGGACACCCAGGCAGCAGCTTTTAACTGTGCGTGGCACCCGGGGACGCTCTGTCGTCCTCGGCGTTCATCCACAGCTCTTCAAGGGTAAGGAAACATGAAGCAAGAGGAGCTCCTCTCCTGGCTCGCTCCCAGCCGAGACCGCCCGGCTTCCCACCGGCGAAGGAGAAGGGGGGTCAGGCCATTTTGGCAGGGACAGGAACCTAGCATGGGTGAAAACAGCCGGCCACGGCAGGGGCGAGCAGGGGGATCACTCCAGCCTCCTCCCACCGCCTCTAGGAAGGGCAGCACGGGGCTGAAACAAGCACCCACGGCAGCAGTCAGCACTGCGGGAGTTGTGGCACCGGGAGAGCCAAAAATCCCTGCTCAGCTTTGCCTCTCATCCAGCCACATGTTCTCTCTCTCTTGGGTTTTTTTCCTCCCCGCTTTTAAAATCAAAACAGATCCGCAGGGACCTGTGCCCGCCGCGCACAGCAAATTGAAACAGCCAGCAGGGGATAGCGTTAAACATCAGCCGGCTTCTCAGCACCAAACCAGCGCTGCAATCTGTTGGCAATCAACCCAACAGAGCCCCAACAGAGCCCCAACAGAGCCCCAACAGAGCCCCAACAGAGCCCCAACAGAGCCCCAACAGAGCCCCAGTTGCCCATTACCACAACAGGCTCCTGCCGACACCGAGGCAGCCCCCGACCACCCCAAAAGAGCCGGAGGTGACCCACCGAGGTGCTGTCCCTGCTCAGGGCACCCAGGTTTCAGGGTGTGCAGGCAGGGAGCGAAGCCTACGCCACCTCTGCTGCTCTCTGGAAGGTCCCAGCTTACGGCCAAAGCAAGAAGACACAGCAGCTTTGCCAAAGACCAATGTGCCAGGAGCCCTCGCCGGGTCCCGGCGCTGAACACCACGGCAGTTGCGTGCTCGCCTTGGATGATGGCAGGGGCCCCGGGGCTCTAAACCTTGTCTGACGAGCAGCAGATCCTCCTGCTCAGGGGGGGACAGCATGAAGAACAACCTCCTGGACAGACAAACGACCTGCAGCCGGGGTTTAGTTTAGGTCGCCATTATCCTGGTGAGAGCAGTTAAAAAAAACCCAACCCAACCAGCACGCTCAGCAATTGTTTTGTTTTTTTTTTTTTTTGCAAAGACAGGGACAGAAGTTACTTGTTTGGGGTGAAAAAAAAAGAAGAAAAAAAAAAAAAAGAAGAGGTCGGAGATGCAGGACTGCTTCCTGGTCTCGGCAAAGGCTTCTCCCAGTTTATCACTTTCGGTTTTGCAGATCCTTCCCCCCCGAGCAGGTAATTGCTCTGCTGGAGCTAAACGGAGGCACGGAGAGAGTTACAGCCCCAAAAGAAATCGGTGCTGGGTCAGCCTGGGGCGCACGCAGCCAGCGCTCCTCCTGCAAGGCCGGGTGATGGCTACGCAGCCCGGAGGGACGAGGGGACCCTCCGAGGACCGACCACGGGGAAGCAGCAAGAGCAGCTCCCGAGGTCGCCCCACTGCAACCGTGGGCAGAGCAGCCCTGTGGCCACGTCCTCCCCACAGCCAGGGGTTCAGGTGACACCCCTACACCAACTGTCCCCGAGGCATGGGGACAGCACCGGCCCGACGCAGCGGCTGGCCAGGCCACGCACCTCAAAGCACACCGGGGCGCTGAGCAAAGATTGCAAAAGCCTCTCCGAGTCGAGCCGACTGGGCAGGGAGGGGCGCAAGCAAGTTCTGGCTACGTAAGGGATGATGTGATGCAACAGGTTTGGGGACAACTGACGGTCCCCAGCAGGTCACCGCGAACCTGCCTGTCCCGGTCCCTACCCCAGGGCCAGGCCAGAAGACGACCGGAGATCTCAAAAGAACAAAAATATTCATTACTGTGGCAGACACAAGCTCCAAAGCGATGTTTTTATAAAGCCCGGACTGTGACAACCTGCATTTCTAGACCCACCAAAAGCTCTGACGCTTATCCCTACCGAAATCCAGCTGTGTCTGCAGGGGAACGAGAGCGGAGCCCAGTGGAAGGGCAGAAGAGCCTCCACCGAGGCCTCAACGCTGAGCTGGGTTTCTGGGTGCTCTGGAAATAGAAACTGGAGCAAGACACACCAGGAGAGCCGGGCAAGCCATCCTCCAGGCAGAGGATGCGGCGACCTCTTTAGTGCCCACGCAAAGCAGAAGGGACTTCGGTCCGCCTGGGCTCCCGATTTAGAAGTGAAGGAAACCGCTCGCGGCACTCCGGATCCGAGCAAAGGAAGAACCAGCGGAGGTTTGATGTAAAGGTGTTTCGTGGAGCAGGCCTGGAGTTTTACTCCCAGGTCAAGCAAGGGAGATTATTGAGGCACCAGGAAAGCCTGAGTCTTGGGGCCGGATGGGGTTTGAGCAGGTTTTGGACAGTAATTCTTTTAACAAAGTAGATTTTGAAATGCTGGAGGGTAAAGCACTGAAGTCAGCGGCAGATGGAAACAGTGTAAGAAGAGAACGGAGCAAAATTTGGGAGACAGGAGGGAAGAGAAGCACCCAAAGGTGAAGCTACCGGCTCCGGAGGAGTCGGGATGGATCTGGGTGCAGATATCCGACTTCCATCCCCGCAGACGAGGATAAGCCTCAGGGGCTGCTCGTGCCTGCAGAAGCCCCTGCTGGACGCTGTGCCAGGGCCTCTCGCCGAGGGGCCACATCGCTCCGTCTGCCTGGATTTTACAGAAATGAGGGAGGGGATCTCAGCCCCCGAGGGGTCTGCGCGTGGCCTCGCTCCTGTCTCGGTGACAGTGGAGGACAGGGAGGGCTCCAACCCCCTTGGACAGTAAAGGAGCAGAGAAAACCCGCAACTCGCAGCTCAGAAATGAACTTTTTGGGTTAATGCAGCCGATAACTCCCTGCCTGTGGACCCCGGGGCGCCTGCAGGTGACAGGAGACATGGTCCCCGGCCTGCAGCAGGGCAAGGACAGCTCGCGAATCCAACTTGGGTGTAGATGCAGCCCGTGGACAAGGGCGGCTGAGATGTCTCCCCTCCGTCCCACGCTGCTCAGCCAGGGAAGGACGCAGGCAGCCGGATGAAGTCGGTCACCCCGTTCACCTCCTCCTCCTCCCGCTGCCCCACAGGCCAGCCCTGTCTGTGTCCCCCCAGCCCCACCCCTACCCCTTCCCAGGCTGGGCACTGGGATTATACCCACATACATGAAGGGAAGAGGAGCATCAGCCCGGTCCTGCCCCCTCTCCCCAAACGTCCCCCCAACATCAGCAATCACAGGCTAAACCTTCCACTCCCCAAACCCCCAAAACAGGGCGGGGGGGGCGGGGAATATCGAGGTCACACCAGCCCAGACCCACTTGGAGCTGCCTCGCTGAGGGATTTGTCACCTCCCTGCCCTTTGGGCTCCCCAGATACAGGGAATTCGGTCCCACCAAGCTGGGGGCTCAAGCTCCCCTCTTCCTCCTCACCCAGGGGGACAGCAGCGACAAAGAACCCCTCACAGGCTT